ATTCGTTAGAAAATTTGTTTTTTGTCTTTGAAAACAAATTTATTACTACATTTGACAAATTTTTTTTTTCTTTATTTATATTTCTTTTATTGATGATTCTTTTTTTTTCGTTAAAAAAAGGTGTCATACTTTTATTATTAATAAAAATTTTCTGTAACAAAAGTTTCTTTCATTTTATTAAATATAAAGTTTTGCATATATATTTTCCTTCTTTTATTTCATTATTTAAAAAAAATAAGGAACAAGAATAAATAAATTATTTTCATTTTATAATAAATAAAAAAATATCCAAAGATCTGTGAAGAACTTTTTATTAATTGCTTTTTTATCAGTTATTAACAAATTTTCCTGATTTGGTAGAAAAATTGAAAAAAAATAGTTTTTTTTGGGAAAAAAAGAAAAAAAATTTAGGAAAACTGAACAAAAAAAATAGAAAAACAGAGAGAGAGAGAAAAAGAGGGAGAAGTAAAAGAAAATGAAAATTTTCAAATACAATATCTTTTCTGACAGTGAAGTAGTATTTTCACTGTTTTAAGTAGTATAGCCAAGTTTCAGTCAGGCACGCGTCTGACATTGTAAGTCCACATGAATAATGCAGTACACGTTTAAACGACTATGAATCAACATCATACAATGCAGGATCTTTTTCTTTTTTTCCTTTCTATTTTCTTTTTTTTATTATTTTTTCCTCATTAAACATTTTTTGTCATCTTTTGTGCGTGAAAATTCAAACATATAAATTGATTTTTGTCTATTTAATTAAATTATCTTTAGAAAATTAAAATTTTACAACATTAATTCCAGTTTAAAGAAAAAATCAAAAATCCCATCAACAAAAAAAAATTAATTCCATTGTGGAAGCACCCTAATTTTGTTAAAGTGCTTCCACAATAATTAGTGTATTATCAATCCCTGTAATAATATAAAATAATTTCCAGCCACCGCTTATTCAAAAAAAAACTTTAATGTAACGGACCCCTAGGGGACGTTACGTTATATTCCAATTTAGGTCAATTTTGACCCACTTTTTTACTTATACGAAATTTGCGTTTACTTTACGTTAAACTTTAGATCAAATGTTACCTATTTTGACTTAAAAAAGGTCAAGGGTCATTCAAGGTAACGTTAGGTCAAGTTTGACCTATTTTGACCTAAAAAAGATAAAGTAACTTTAGGGCTACTTTGACCTGTTTTTAATTTTACAAAAGGTCAAGAGGTATTCAAAATAATGTCAACCGTAGGGGCCGTTACGTTACGTTGAATTTTAGGTCAAATTTGACCTATTTTTTTAATTTCAGATCATTTACATTTGCGGTACGTCAAAATTTAGGTTAATTTGACCTATTTTAGACCTACAGGTAAAGGGTAATTGACCTGTGACCTAAATTTTGACCTGTGAGTAAACAATAGGTCAAAACTGACCTAAATTTTGACCTTTAAGTAAACAATAAGTCAAAATTGTTCTAAATTTTTATATGTAAGTAAAAAATAACTAAATTTGACTTATATTTTGAGCTGTAAGTAAACAATAGGTCAAATTTGACCTAAATTTCGACGTGTAAGTAAACAATAGGTCAAATTTGACCTTTATGTTGACCTATAAGTAAACAATAGGCAAATTTTGACCTAATTTTTGACCTGTAAATAAACAATAGGTAAAATTTGACCTGTATTTTGACCTGTAAGTAAACAAAAGGTCAAATTTGACCTAAATTTTGACCTGTAAGTAAACAATAGGTCAAATTTGACTTAAATTTTAAAGTTACGTAACGGTCCTTTTAACGGCCTTTAAGGGGGACCGCAAAGACACCATAACTAAAAATTTAAATATGTATATTAAAAATAAAAATATTTTACATCTGGTTATTATTAAAATTATTGTTTTTATTATTACTATTATTATTATTATTAGTAGTATTATTATTAATAATATTATTATCATCACTATTGTTATTATTATAAATTTTTAAATAACACACAATGAGATGCAGTAGAAATGTGGTTAAAATGAAAATTAAAAGGCAAATATTTTTCTTCGAACACAATTTTATGAGAGATAAACTTTAATTTTCCAAGTTTTTGAATATTCTCTCAACTTGCATTAAAATGACTTGGGAAGGTCATTAAAACTTTGTTGAGTTTTGAGTTGTTAATGTAATTTGAAATAACATACTATAACATTATCTGAGTGAGCGCGCGACAAAAACAAATTGAGAGGAGCTACTGGAAAATAAATTCTCTCCTTATTTTAAAAAAAATTTTTTTTTTCTAAATGAGATAAAATTGCGAAACAAGTTTTTTAGTTAAAAAATTATTTTAACTTTACACAGTGAATATAAAAAAGAAAATATGAAAAAAATAATGCGTACAAGAGATTCTAGTTTTGTGTTTTCTTTTTTTTTCTTTTTTCACTTTACGCTTGTCCTGCTAACACGTCGAGTTTACATTACACTGAATTTTAAATCTCACCTCGACCAGTCAACATAAATATTCGCCTGCATGAGCACACACACCATTGTTTTACGCTTCTATTACATTTTTTCACATATCCCCCTCTTTTATTTTAATGAAAACTAATTTACCTAATAAATAAACTTGTGTGGAGGTTGAAATATTTTTCTAAAAAAAATTTAAATATTTTTTTTTATTTTTATAGAATGAAAAAACTTCGAAAATTGTAAATTAATTAACGAAAAAATATTGTAAATTTTAGTAGAAATAACAATTTTTTTTTATTCTTTAGAATTTTTTAGTATAATTTTTAGTAAAAAAAATAGATGGTAAAATATTTTATTTACTAATCATTAATTATTAATAAATTTCTTTTTAGAAAATTTGGAAATATTTCGAAAAAATGTCGACAATGTTCTCTACATTACCGACTGCAGGCAAAATGACAAATCCTACTTTAAATATCTTTTTTTAAAAATCAAATATCAATGTAGGGGCATCTAAATTACTGTTCAGGTTAGTGGATGGTATGAAAATTTTAAAAATACGACTCACTAAATTCGAGAAACTTTGCCGAAAAGTCTTTAGAATCGGTAATGTAAAATTCTACCTAAATTCTATTGATTGAATTTAAATATTAGAGCTGTGGCACTTAAATTACTATTTCAGTAGGTGGATTTTATGGAAATTTTGAAAATACCCCTTAATAATTGCGAGAGAAATGGTAGAAAAATTTTCTACTGTCGATAATGTCAAATTCTACCTAAAATTTATTGATTGAATTTAAATATTAGCCCTGTGGCACATAAATTACTATTTAACTAGGTGTATTTTATGGAAATTTTGAAAATACAGCTTAATAATTGCCAGAAAAATGGTTGAAAAATTCTCTACTGTCGATAATGTCAAATTCTAACTAAAAATTGTCGCTTAAATTCAAATATTAAACTTGTGGCATCTAAATTATGATTTTAGATAGTGGATGCTATGAAGATTTTTATAATAGGACTTGATAATTTCGAGAAAGTTGGTGGAAAAGTTTCTACTGTCGGTAAAGTCAAATTCTACCTAAAATTTCTTGATTGTATTTAAATATTAGAATTGTGGCACTTAAATTACTATTTCAGTAAGTGGATTTTATGGAAATTTTAAAAATACAGTTTCATTAATTTCGAAAAACTTTGTTGAAAAATCTTAAAAAATTTTTTTTTCAAAAATTTTCTAATTTTAAATTCGTGGTATCTACTTTAGTAACGCAAAAAAAAAACTGGGAAAAATTTGACATAATAACTGACATTCTGAAGAAAAATTGTTAAGAAATGTTTTTATCTGTTGTCGGTAATGTCAAATTCTACCTAAAATTTTTTTAAAATAAAATTTGAAAAATGATAGCAATGGCACTATATTTAAACTGAAAGTTATCAGAGAACAGAAAAAATTTGAATTCGTATAAATTTCGCGTAATCTTGTAGATAAATTCTACTTATTATTATCTACAGTCGGTAATGTAAAAATCTACCTAAAATTAGAATATTATTAGGCAAATTTTATCTAAATTGTATTTTTTTTTTTTTTTTTTTTTGCTTAGGGACTTTTGGGAAATCTGCCTACAGATACCTTGGATTCCGCACTCCAAGGTTATGTGGGGTTGGTAAAATAAGAAAAAAAAAAAAAAAAAAAAAAGGGAATATAAAAAAAAGATAAATAAAGAAAATAATGAAATTATTTATTAAAATATAATTTTTTTTTCAATAAAAATATTTTTTCATAAAACCTAAATTAAAAATTACAATTAAGAAAAAAAATACTTAATTGTATGATTTTTTTAAAAATCATCTCTCTCATACACTTTAATAACAAATTAATTAAATTAATTGTCATTTTAATTTCGAACACACTCCCCTTGAGTTAAAGAATATATTTCGCTTATCAATTAGCAAAATTCACATATAATGAAAATATAATTGTCATCAACTTGTCAAAACGTAAAATTCAAACACAGTTCGTCAAACTGGAAATAATATACTACACACTTGTTTTAATAATTAATTTAACAGAGTAAATATTGCTAATTAATTTTTGATGCGAATCAATTATAAATGTTGCTATTACTAAATACGAGAACGCAAAACTCCGCCAAAAAGTGAAACGCGATAACGAATATAAAAAAAATAATTTGTACTCTTATAAAAAAAAAAAAATTTTTTTTGAATTTTTTTTTAATAACATTTTTTTTTAAAAATTGAAATTAAATTCAAAAAAATATTTCAATTAAAATTAACAACGAAAAATAATTTACTGTACATATTTTTTTCTTTTATCTACCTACATTTTTGTTTGATTGAAATATTACGAAATCAACTGTAAAAAAGAAAAAGATAATAAAATTCTATTTTTGTGTTCAAAAAAAATCTGTTTCCGATTCCTGATGAATTATTTGGGATAAAAAGGAAAATACTTTTTTTCTAAGTTGAAAAGTTTTTTTTATTATTTTTTTTTCTAACTCTTTACAATAGAAAGATAGAGAATGTCTTTTTTTTTTGTTTCAGGTTTTGCCACCCTGGAAGGCAGCCAAACAGGGGAGTATATCTTTTAAAATTCGTACCAACGAACCAAATGGCTTGGTCATGTACAGCAGAAGTGGAGCGCTGAGTCGGGTGAGTGCCTTCATGTTATACTCTTTCCGTTCACCTGAATAAGGGATAATGCACAAAAGCAAGATATTTTCGTTGTTTCTTCCCCTTTTTTTTATTTATTCTTTTTTTTCTCTCTTTCTTTATCAAGAAAAATATACCATATTTTCAGAAAATGAAAAATTCTCGACATTCCTTTTCTATATTCACTATTTTATATAGATATATATATATATATATATATAAAAATCAAATCCATATATAAAACAATATCATTCTTACAAAATAAAGTCGTTTTGAAATTTAAATTTGAGAAAAACAGAAAAATTGTAGTGGAATTTAAAGAATTTTGAAAATATTTTATTTTAGATTTATTTTTCTCTTTTATTTTCTCTTTATTCAGTTTTGTAAAATTACTTCGCAAAAACTGTTAAATAATTATAATAAAAAAAAAAAAAATTAATAATTCTAATAAAATTATTATATTAAAATTATTATTTTTCTTATTAGTCCAAATCGATTCTATTTTTAATTTAACATCGTCTCTACTGTGAAATATTCTATTTTACCTAGTTTTATTTATTATTTCCAATCTTAACATTTAGTGCTTTCAAATATTCGCGCGGAATTTATCTTTAAGCAAACGCCGCGACATCTAGCGGGAGAACTTAGAACACTGTCGTAATTTTTTTTTATCTTTGTCGCAGCAAAATTTAAATTCAGAATAAAAACGAATGAAGACGTCACTTAAGATAAAATAATTAACCGGATGGAAAATAAATTAACAAATAAATTAAAACAACTAGTTAACAAAAACAAAAAAAAACTAGTGCGATATTTCAAATTAAAAAAGCAATACCGTAAATTAAAGTCGTTTACTTGAGTTGTTTCAGCGGAATAAAAACTTGGTGGAAAGTCGATTTGCAGCAATAAAATGCAATCAAGCGGGAAACTCCAATCAGTACTTCATTTCTTTAATTTTTTTCCCCTTTTTTTTGTGTATTTTTTTTCTCTTTCTCAACAGACGAGTTTTATATGATTTTCTTTTTTTTCACCTAAACGATAAAAAGAATTAAATTGCCAATTATGGAAAATTATATTTTTTTTCAAGAAAAAAAGAAAATGAAAATTACCCCCTCTCCCCTTTAGTAAAAAAAAGTGAGGAACGAACGGACACATTACTGACAATTACTGTTAAAAGTAACAGTTTAAAAAAAATTTTCTTCGTTCTTTGCAATTTTTTTTTTTGAGGAAATAACGAGCATTCAAAAACCCGATGCAAAAATACATTTTTGCAAAGCGCGTTACCAACTGTGTACATGAAAGTTCGTCGGTTAACTGTAATTCAATTATCGAAACACAATTTCCTCTCCCTCAACATTGGAAATGAAACGAGTCGCTTTTCTGTCATTTTTCCGAGGTCCTTTTCTGTTTTTTTAATTCACAGCAAAGTTTAATTAGAGAGCCTTTAATTGCTTCGTCATTAAACGATTCCTCCCCACCCCTTCATTTTAACTATTTATCACAAATCTAATGCGCAATTTCATTAAATTTCATTTGACATAATTGCAAAAATAAATTTAAATTATAAAAACTTAAAAAAAAAATTTTTCTTTTCTATTTTTTAATTAAAATTTTCTCTTTACTTAAAGAGAAAAAATAATTTCTAAATTTCGAAATTTAAAAAATTTATTTAACAATTAACTGTTAATTTTTTTTATTTTTAAATTTCCCGCTTTAAAATTTTAGCGGGAAATTTAAATAAGTATTTTTTGTTTTCTGTTTGAAAGAATAGTTTCTATTGAATAAAACTTATTGTATTTTTAGAGATTAATAAAGATTATTTTTTTTATCTTTCAGCCTGACTTGTTTGCTTTTGAAATTTTAAATGGACACCTTTACCTACATGCCGATCTGGGAAGTGGGCCAATCAAGGTGAAGGCCTCAAAAGTTCGTGTCGACGATGGTGTTTGGCATGACGTCGCTTTTCGTCGTGTCGAACGAGAGAGTCGAGTCACAGTCGATCAAATAACAATTGAATTTCGCACACCAGGTAATAACAAAAAAAAAAAATTTAATTCTGGAAAAAGTATTTTTTATTCTTAAAATTATAATCTTTCTTCAAATTATTATTTTGTGAACAAAAATTTAAAAATTATAATTTGAAAAAAGATTATAATTACCTATTTTTTTTAAACAAACAGAAATTTCTACCTTACCGACCACGTGTCGATAATGTCAAATTCTGCTGAATTTTTTTAATTTATATTCGAAAACGATAACTGAGGGATGTAGTTTAGATCCAAAGTAAGAGATTGACATGGAAAATTTGCATAACCAAATCTTCAATTTCGAAAAAATTGGTGTACAAGTTTTAAAAGTTGTTATAGACAAATGTTTCCTAAAAAGTTCTTAATTAAGAAGTTCATAATTAAGGTATTTATATCTTATAATCGTTTTTTCTAGAAATTATTATTTTAAAAGAAGATCATTTTCTTTTACGGAACAAAAAAAATTTCTACATTATCGACATTACCAATCGGTAATGTTCTTCTTAAAATTGATTAATTGAATTTAAAACTATTATTCAGGCACATTATTAAGACTAAAAATAAATGATTAACGTAAAAAATTTGCAAAAAACATTAAAACTTGAAAAACTGTAGAAAAGTCTCAATAGTCGGTAAAGTCAAATTCTACCTAAAATTTATTAATTAAATTGACAAATAATAGTCGAGGCATCCAGTTTATGCCAAAAATAATGAATTAACAATTGGAATTTAAAAAGAAGAAATGTTAATTTCGGGAAAATTGGTGTATAAGTCTTTGAAGTCGGTAAAGTGAGATGTTTCTTTTTTAATTTCTTAACTAAACTCGAAAATTATAATCTTCGCTTCTAGTTTATATCTTTAGTAAATTATTGACTTAATGAAATTAAAAAAAATTTAAACTTGAATTTCGAAAAAATTAAAGAAATTTCAGCAGTCGGTAAAGTCGTGTTCTACCTGAAATTTCTCAGTTAATATTAAAAAATATAATAGAGGGATCTTGTTTAGACCTGAAATAACTAATTTTCCCGAAAATTGAAAATAATTTCCAACAAAATTTGGATAAAAACTGATGGAATATTCCAACCAGTCGGTAATGTCAAACAAAATTTTTATCAATTTATTTAAAAAATTACGCTCAACGCAGACTTCCAGTAAGTAGAAATCACATTATCGACTGTAGTCGGTAAAATCAAATTCTACCTAAAATTTATTAAATCTAATAAAAAAATAATAAAGACATCGAGTTTAGAAAGTAATAAAAAATTAAAAACAATTAGTTCTAATTTGATTTAGTAGACAATTTTCTACATTATTGTCTATTTGTCGGTAAGGTAGAATTCTACATAATTTTTTAAAAATTAAATTCGAAAAAAAAGTTAAGGCATCTAGTTTAAACCCAAAGAAAATGAATAACCAAAAAATTGTCTAAAAATAACTTGTAAATTTCTTGTAAATTCGTTGAAAAAAAAATTTTATTCATCAAAAACGTAATTTTTTATTCTTAAAAAATGAACTTTTAGTTTAAAAAAAATATTCTAAGACAGCCAGTATCGTACAATTTTATACCCGCTGGGCTAAAATGAAAATATTTATATAGAGTCGTAAATATGATTTATTTAGACTTTCCATTTTTTTCTTTACCTATTTTTTTTTTTTATTTTTTTTCTTTATTTTTTGCTTTAAAAATGGGGTTGAAGAGGAGGGGGGTGAATACTGAATATGGTAACATATATGTGGTGCTTTATCACTTACGCGGTTTACGAGTAAATCCCGTAGCCTTTACCTCAGGCACAAATAGTACAGAGGAAGGGAATTCGCGGTTTGCGATCATAATTCATTGTTACACACTCGAGAACACTTATGCCACACCAGCCAACCATTTTGTGCCCAGAATGATGTCGTATTTTACCAAAGCACCTGACAACGAATCCGTTAAAAAAAAAATTTTAAAAAAACTAACTAACAAACAAAACTTTTAAATTGTAAAATTAATTTTTAAAAATTTAAATACAAAATTCCCCAAAAAAAATATTTTTGTATCAAATTAGGTTAAAAATATTTAAAAATTCTTTTTTAATATATAACACAGTTCTTAACGAAAATTGTTTTTGAATTTGGCGCCAAATAGATTTCTATTCAATTTTGGCGCGAAATTTAAAATCTAAGTGTTAAAATTAAAAAAAAAAACAATGGAAATATTTAGTAAAAAATTAATTTCTTTTTAGAAATAAAATTAGAAATAGATAGAGTAAAAAATTTTAAATATTAAAAGATGAAAAAATTTATTTTGCCGGGAAAATTAAAAATATTTTTAGCTTTCTTTTGAATTTTCATACGTTTGCAATATTTGTTTAAAATTTTTTCGATAATTTTCAACTTTTTGTCTATTTTAATTTGTCTAAAATGTTCTTGAATTCAATTAAGGAGAAAAATACGTATTTAGATGAACAATTGAAATTAAATGTAGAGTAAAATCGTTTTTCCGAGATTCACTTTTGTTATTCTATACTCCATTTTAGACTTGCCTTCCGCCGTAATATTTACTCAGACTCACCGAAAAAACTTCTTTTACCTCGATGAAAACCGATTGAATAAACTCGTATGCAACAGTCGCAAAAAATAGAGAAAAAAAAAAAAAGAGAGAGAGAGAGAGAGAGAGAGAGAGAGAGAGAGAGAGAAATGTAAATTCCCAGAATTACGGGAAATAGGAAAAGAAAATTTTTTTTTTCTACAAATTTATTTCTAGAAATTTTCCACTCTTTATTAATTAAATAAAAATTTTTTTCCACATCCAAATTCCCTGGAGTGAAGATAAAAATAAAAACTAAAAACTGCCGGGAATTTTTTCACGTGGATGAATATATATTTTGTTTAAGAAATTAAAAAATTACGATAATAATTTAATAACGTAGAGTTTGAAATAATGAATTTAAATATAAATTCAAGTAATTAAATAACATTTTGTTGAAGAAATTAATTAAGTTTCAAAGAAATGTCGAGGAAATAATAATTAATTATAGAATAAAGAAAAAAAAAAATTATCGATGTGAAATAATTGAAGAGAATGAATATAGAAATAAATGAATTGGGTCATAAAATATTGAAAGCAAATTAATTAACTTAGAATAATAATTAAAAATACAATTAATAAGGGAGTGAGAAAAAAAAATTAAAATAAATAGCGAAAATAAAATTATTAATTTAATAATTTGTTAATTTTTTTATAAAAGCATCTTATAATGCTTTACCAGCTAGTTCGTTACTAAGAGTTTTTTGAGACCCCAAGTAACTGATTATGAATCTGGTATTAGATTTTCAAAATTCAAAATGGCGAACGAATTTTCGAAAAATTGATAGAATTTGCTTGAAATTCGTTATCCCGCCATATTGGATTCGCCATTTTAAATTTTGAAAATCTAACACCAGATTCATAATCAGTGTCCGCAACGAAACTTTTGTTCATTAATTTTAAGTTAAAAAAAAAAAATTCTCCCTACCCTCTTGTGATAGTAAAACAAAAAAGGAAAAAAAAAATTTATAACTAATTATTTTAACCGATTTTTGAAATAATATTCACGATAGCAGAAACCCGTAAATTTTTGATTAACGATAACCGATTAAACGCTCTTTGAACTCAACAAACAATGTGATTTATCAGAATCACTCATCCATGAAGTGAAATGAAATTTTCCCTCTTCCTCGTGAATTTATTTTGGTCATCGTTTTACGCTAAAGTGAGAAATTTCGACGATGATTATCACCCACGAGCGATTTAATTAATTTCAATTTGTTTTCCTACATTTCAAAGAAAATGCAAATCTCTATTTAATATACGTATATATAATTACACGGATTTTCAATTTTCAAAGTTAAAATCAAATTTTTCTTTTGAAATAAAATTGAGAGTTTTGATGTTATTTTGTTTTACATATTGATGTTTTTTTTATTTATTTTAGGATTATTAATTTTTTTTTATTTCATTTAATATCATTTAATCATTTAATATCATTTAATCATTTAATATCATTTAATTGTTATGAAATTCGAAATTCATTATGGAATTCATAATGAAACAATTATTACAAATCGAAGGATTTCAATAACTGATTTATTACTGAGTTTAAAACATAATATTAGATTTATAAGGCATTAATTTAATTAATGGATTGAATGATTAGCGGATGAATAATTTAAGTTTTCTTAAAAACAAACATAAAAGTGTCTCCTATAAAACTAATTAAAATGCATGCCGTTCGTAACTATTTCAACTATTGAAGGAACGAGAGGTAAATTTATATTTAGATCGAATTGCCATCTTTGTCTATAGCAAATATGTATATATGTATATAAACGTGGAGTACTATCATGAAATGTTCGGGAAGCTGCGCGAAAGGAAATACTGACAACGGGGATGGAATTTGTGGGTTTATTAAACCGATAAATAAACAGTAAGCAAGTTCTGCTTGACGAGATCGTTTCTGCCAAGTCGTCAAATTATATGCGCAAACTTTGACGAAACCCCTACCCTACTCCAAAATCCCAGGCACTTTTCAAGCCATGTCAGCAAAACCAGTCAAAGTTGCATTCAGTTTCGAGATGTTGCACCAAGTCCTCACCCGTTGGCTATAACTTATAGATATATACATCCATATGCCAACTTCTCGGCGAACCATAATCGCACACCTAACTCTCGTATAGGGAAAAGAAATTCTTTTTCTCCTTATACTTTCTACTTTCACTTTTTACTTCCTACTTATACTTCCCACTCCCACTTTCCACTCTCACTTTTTACTTCCTACTTATACTTCACACTCTCACTTTTTACTTCCTACTAATACTTCACACTCTCACTTTTTACTTCCTACTTATACTTCACACTTTCACTATTTACTTCCTACTTGTACTTCACACTCTCACTTTTTACTTCTTACTTATACTTCACACTCTCACTTTTTACTTTCTACTTATACTTCACTTTCACTTTTTACTTCCTACTTGTACT